TCTGCAACCCCCTGACAGGGGGGGGGGCCGGGGGGGGGCGGGCTCTGCTCCCAGGGAACAAGGGACAGGAGGAGAGGGAACAGCCTCAAGTTGTGCCAGGGGAGGTTCAGGTTGGACATCAGCAAGAATTTCCTCATGGAAAGGGTGGTTGAACATTGGAAGGGGCTGCCCGGGGAGGTGGGGGAGTCCCCACCCCTGGAGGTGTCCAAGGAAGGACTGGACGTGGCACTCAGTGCTCTGGGCTGGGGGACAAGGTGGGGATCAGCCAAGGGTTGGAGCCTCAGCGAAGAAATTCCTCCTGCTGTCCAACCTGACCCTCCCCCAGCACAGGGACACCACAAGGCACCTTTACCGCCAGCTTGTTGTTGAGGAGCAGCTGGAACCCCTCTCTCCTGTCCCGCTCGTCCCCGGCGTGCAGGCGGTCGGCCTGCTGCAGGAGCTGCCCCAGCCCCTCCTCCAGAGAGGAATCCAGGGCCAGAGGGGCTTCATCCTCGGTGACCAGGTCCAGGGAATCCCGGCGCACCGTCCTCACTGTGTCACAGCTCACTTCATCCTCCCCTTCCTCGCTCTCCCTCTCCGACTCCCGGTCGTAGTCGGACTCGGCGTTGGCCGTGGTGTAGCTTTGGGAGGAAAAAAAAAAAAACCGACACAAAATCAGTTTGGGGAGCTATTCCTAACAGAGGAAGAGGAGCATCTCAGCTTATCCTGCACGACACAAGTGTCTCAATCTTGGATTTCTTGGAACAGTCACTATTTCTCACTTAACGTATCAAAAAAATCTGAAGGAAAGCACAGAATGCTGAAGGATGAAGGTCCCTTGGAACTTAAGTCACAAGTGGGTTTTGAGCAACACAGTCCCTGCCCATGGCAGGGGGGTGGAACTGGAGGAGCTTTAAGGTCCCTTCCCACCCAAACCATTCCAGGATTTTAAGTGTCCCCACCTCACCTGCACACCTTGCCAGCTCCTCTTAGCTCTTCTAACTGCAGTGTAACAGAATTAAACAGCTGAAAGCAGAGCCAGGACTATTCAGTTAAATACATGGATTATAAGGGAGAACTTCAACAGTCCATCTGGAAAGTATAACCTGAGGGATTTAGCCTGCTCCAGGGAATTTCAGGCACAACAACTCTCCTGGCAACACCTCATCCCTCCATCATCCTGGTCACTAAATGCCCCCACAGCTCGTTCCCACTGCCAGGTGAAAAGGTGAAGAATAGCAGGAAAGCCACCAAGACTCTTTTCCAGCAGCAAGAAATCCAGCAAGGAGCAAGAGGATGAGCCACAAAGAGACACCACACGTGAAAAACCCAGGGACTGATTCACAGCTGAATCAGTCAAAAGAACCAGGACCCGGTTTAGGGAGGGTTTTGGTGGTGCCACAATGATGGTTGGACTCTATGACCTTGGAGGTCTCTTCCAACCTCCTTGATTCTGTAAAGCTCAGATCCAAGCTTCTGAAAATGGCTAAAATTAAGCCCCCCCAGCACTTAAGGTGGGAATTTAAAATTTAAACTGGCATTATGCAGTGGCACCACTGCAGAGGGGGAGTCTACTCACAAAGCCAATTTCTTTTAAAATAAGATTATTTGTCCCCCTCACACTGACCTGCAAGCTCTTAACTGCAGAACAGGCACAAATCAGGCAGTAATTTCAAAATTACTGCACTTTAATACGTGGATTTTGTTGATTTAGGTGAACAACAAGGCAACTACACCAGTTCTGCCAGAATTAAATTCACTGCAGTCTGAGGGCACTGGGTACCTCCAGCACTGTGTCCTGGCTGGATTCCTCTTCCCAAGGAACAGCCCTGTGATCCTGCCTTTGTCTGGGGACCCAGATATGTGCCCACAGCCTGTATCTGAAGGAGGCAGTGACAGCACTTCACCCACACCTTGATAACAAGACACATCTGGCTATCAAAGCTTCACTTTTTCTGAGAACCATCCATAACTTTCAAGCATTTCCCTCTCTGGCAGAGGGTGAACCAACACCCTTGCTCAGCAGAGCCTCCAAACCCTCATCCAGAAATTTAAAACCCCACCATTTCTGTACTGAAACATTTTCAGGCAGGGGATAAAGAGTCAGCAGAGGCAGGAAAGCAAGGATGCCATGCTGGAGATGCCACTGAATTCATGGATAATGCAGCAACACAGGGGTAGGTGACACTGCCAGGTGACACTGGCTGAGCTCTGTTTCACATTAAAAGCTTCATTTCTTTACATTTCTTAAGATTAATAATTAAGATATTAATATTAAGGTATTATTAGTTCCCTAGACTACCCCATTTTCAGTAGTTGGACACAAACTCCTCAAATTCACATATTTCCCCATCCTAACCCCCAACATTTTCCTGGCAGCTGCCAAGGTTTCAGTCCTTCAGCTCAAAAAACCCCCATGTTTTCTCCCAGTTGCTGCAGTTCAAAAAGACAAGGAACAGGACAAGCTCAAAGCTTTCAGGGAGATTAAGGGATTTAGATGTTATCAGCCTATTTTCCTGAATTTACAATGATGGAACTGGAATACTTTAGGAGGAGCTCTGGCTAAAACACATCCTGAAGGAAAACAGAGTCTGGAACAAAAAAGCCCACGGAAAGGAGAGGCAAAGAAGCCCAAAAACCAAAGCCACACCGGGAAATTAAACAGCCCAAAAACCTCTGAGAACTCGCTGATTTTTGGGAATTGTGTATGGAACAGGAGAAGCTGCTCACGTCCATGCGGTTCACAAAATAAAGCTGAAATGGGAGTTCTTTGTTCTGAATTCCATAAAAATAATTCAACTGCCAGCAAGGAACATCCAGCTGAAATTTATCTCATTCTTCCTCCCAGTGGCTGCTCCAGAGCTTCAATTGTTTTTTCCAAAATTTACATTTCCTACCTTGATTCTAACCCTGAAAATGTTACTCTTCTAGTACATTTACATCTCTATCAGACAATACTGCACACTAAAGGCAGCTGGTCCTGACCAGACTGACATTATGGTCCTCCACAGGGAGAAATTACATTATTCCAGGGGTTTTTTTAAATCAGACGAGAGTTCTAGTTACAGATTTTAGTTACAACGTAAGAACTCCTCCAACCATCACTGGATTCCCAATAAATTAATGAGGCTTTGCAGTAAAACACACCCCTGTCCCCTAAGGAGGTGCCTTTTCTGAACCTCTGAATTCCTGGCCTCTGCCACAACTTACAGTTTTCTATCAGCAGGGGACACCCCAGGCTGGGATCAAGGTGGACAAAATCCACCTTTTCCATCAGTTTTACAAAAGCCACCATCACCCAGATGATTCAGTGCATCTGCTGTTACCCAAACAGCAAATGTCTCGTCTTCAGAACCAAGCAGACATTTTAAAATCTGTTCTGCACCCTCGTTCCCTATTACACCACCATGAATCACTCACTGCCTCGTTTCCCTCTCATTCCAACACCCACTCCGGATGAATGAAGCTCTACAACCCCAGTGACATCATCCCAGCTCTCTCCTGCCACACCAGCTCCAGTTAGGAGGGAGAAAACACTGGAATGACACGATTTTAGGGCAGTCACAAGTTGCCCTCCTGCAGATCCATGTTTTCCGTCCTGGGAAGACAAATCCCCTGCTGCAAAGTGCTGGCACCGGCTCACAGGTCATTTGGCTGCTCCCCATCGTGTCCAAACTTCCCCTGAAATGCTCTCACTGCTATAAAATCTCTCTTTAAAATTACATTTCAACTGCCCTGGGAAAAAACTTACACGTTTTGGGACACACTTCCATACCTCAAATGCTACCAAACTGGTCTGACTGAGGCACAGAAGAGCAGCATTTCCTTGGAAAATCAGCAGTCACCACCAGGTCTGCAGGAGAACTCTTGCTGCTTGTCTAATATGAATATACCTAAAGCCATAATTGTCATTTTTAATTATGTTCTTAAACTACTCAGTACTTTCCTGTCCCGTGCAGGGCCAGGAGCTGGACTTTGATGATCCTACTAGGTTCCTTCCACCTCAGGATATTCCCTGATTGTGTGAGTTTATAACTTTCACTTGATTTTAAACTCTAAGAACTTAAAAGAATCGATCTCACAATGGGAAAAAAATCCCAAGAAACACCCTGGTTGAAGACAGATATTCAGTTAATTCATTCTGAACTTTCTCAAGTTTTCCAGGCACTCAAAAATATATTATTGTCTTGAAATTTTATTTCTAAACATTCTCACTTCGGTCCCAGGCTGGACTTCTACTTTCCTTCTTTCTACAACGTTCCTTAACCAAATTATTCCTTTAAAACCACCCTCCCTCCCTTTTATATATATATATATATATATATATATATGATTTGTTTCTTTCTCTAGAAGTCAGGACTGTTGCAGATCTCCCAGTCTGGCCCTGGCAGTGACACATTTACTGCAATAAAAGCAAACTATAACAGGCTGACAGACATCCAGTGGGGGGAAAAAAATTCCCTTAACTTCTGTTCTAAACTGCTCAGACGTGGCACGAAAGCCCCTGAAAGCTGCCCCTGGCCTGGTGCTCTGCTTACCCCCCTTCACTCTCTCCATCATCCGTGTTGGCATTCCCTGAGCTGGCTGTGAAATAAATGGAGCTGGAGCCTGTGGAGTCACTTCTCTCCCTGGGATGGGGGAACCTCCTCCGGCGGTTCAGTCTCTGGGTTTCTTCCAGGTGGGACCTGTGAGGAAGGGAAAAGGAAAAAGAAATTAATATCTGGTAGTGAAAGAGCTGCTATTTCCCTTCCCTTCTCCTCTCCAGCAGACTCCATCCAAATCCCTTTACATCCAAAGAATTCACAGGGTGATTTACTCCGGCTTATACAAACATCCCACTCCCAGGCAGGTTGTATTCTCCAGGTAAAGCAAGCCTTGGTCCATATACAATCCATATATAATCCATGTCTAATCCATACATGCAATATTCATCAGGTCTCTTCATCAGGAACCGCAGTGGCAGGACAAGGAGTAAAGGGTTTGGACTGAAAGAGGGAAAACTGAGGTTGGATATTGGGAAGGAATTCCTCCCTGGGAGGGTGGGGAGGCCCTGGCC